GCGACAATGCTCATTTACTCGGAATGACGCATCAAAGCGGCGTCTGTAAGTACGAAAGAAAGAAAAAACAGACCGTGAATGGCATGCGGGCATAGATGAGAGATGCACAGCCACCCGAGCCTGACAAAACGAATGGCTCACGACGTCAGACCGCGGTGTTCGGTCGGCATGATTTGCAGCTTACCTCCAGGCTTCGTGCGACGTTGCAATGGCAGCTCATCCCATCGTCGTTTTAAGCCTCAAGGGACTTTCTCTGTGACAAGGGCTTGCCGCGGACACCTTCACCTACAACGCCCCCCCCTTTCACAGCAGAGTTAGCTCCAATTTACCTACCAGCTCCTTGCGGTGTTTACGGTAACCCGTCCAAATTTCTCTGAATCCTTGTCGCATGCAGCCGTGAGGCGCGGATAGTAACTTGCCCGTTGCGCGTGTCATTTTGCCAGTAGCACGCTAATCGTTTGACTGCCTCAGCTACCCAGGGCCCATTGAAGTTGTCGATGTGACAGATGGATCGCACTAGAACAAATATCATCGTTTCCAGAACAAAGTAGTCCCGTATACTCCTCCGTATGCCATTTCGCCCCCTAATTACCCTGTCATCTGAGCTCGTATATCAACTTGCCAGACTCAATTGGCTTCTACGAGGGAAGAAGGGAAAACAAAAGACTAAGCGATGCGGATTTAAGCACTCGGCAATGAATACCATTGTTGAACGCACGGTCTGACTAGGCTGTGGAAGCAGGACCTGTGACAGCTCGCCACAGGCCGGCTATGACCTTGGCCGTAGCAACCCTGGCTGGCGGCTCTGTTGAAATTGTCAAATCGGGGCAACCATCGGTGCTTTCTCGGTAATTCCTGCTCTCATCTTCAGATCGAAAAGTCATCCAAAAACTAGACTGGGCATGATATCCGGATGCTTGAGTGTAACCTGAACATGGCCGGAACGACTTGTTTGACCAGCGCTACATCGTCCAATAGTTTTATAGTAGATTTCACGAAGCTGCCGGACTTGCACTACGACTATGCGGCTTTCAGACGTAAGTTGAAACGAAACACTAACCCCAAGGGGTTGAGACTATGATGTACGTCCGAAGGCGGTAAACACTCCCTGCTGCTGATGTCCTTAAAGTTATCACTACATATCACTACAAAGGGGACGGAAATAGAAGAGGGATTTCTCGCAGCATATCAAACTTCGAGCGTCATTGCATGGAAATGATTAATATAGCCCCCGAAGAGGGATTGACAAGTGTAAGCAAGTAAGGTACAGGTTGCGCTCTCTTCAAAAAGTGCATAAGAGTAAGTAAGGAGACATAATATTCTGACAAAAAAAAAAAAAAAAAAGGGAAGAAGAAGAAGACAGGACAGAGGAGGGGAGGGGGCGGACGGGGCATTAGCTAGGAATATTGGCTGGCTTCCTCCTGAGACTTATGCGCCAGTACCAAGATGCTATCATAGTTGTCACTACTAGTAGGCCCATTTGGAGAATTTCGATCTGATGGATTTTACATAGATAACGTCAGGCGTTCACGGATGGCACGCATGATGGATCCAGTGACACGATACTTGGAAAGGGGCGTTGCACTCCAGTTTGCAAATAACGTAAGGACAGCTCGTCACAGCAAAATCGAGGGCTACATACTACCAATGAAAGGCTTCATAATGTTCCCAAGCCTCAAGACGAAGATGGTGATGAGCTCTCAATTGATTCCCAGCCGAGATCTCTCCTTAAGTGGGATGCCCGTCATCCCGGGGCTCGCTGGTAGGGCAGGATTACGAAAATCTGTGGTAGCTGACCGCAACAATAATGCCGCCGACGCCATAAAACACAGTAATCAGCGAAAGAGTAACGTGTGCACATCTATTGTTAGTTTCCAAATCGATACCGAGACGATGCAGGTGCTCATCTACTCAATAGATTGATACGCAAGGCCAGCAAACGGACCCTGCAAGGCAGACACGATCTTCACCCCAGGATCTGATACAGGGCTGCGTGTCGTCATCACGAGGAGATGGTTCCTCAAATCAGAGAAGCCTATGCCAGCATGATGAGGTGCAATCTCCGATACCAGGCGGCAATGAGGCTGTGAATCCATGGTATCCCACCTTGCCTGCGATTGGTGTAAGTAGCATGCAAGCTGCAGGTCACGGTAGTTCGTCGTTGCGCCGACGCGGCAAAGGATGATTTGGCTCCTCAGGGGGTCTCGCAACCACCTTCAAACCAAAAGTCCGCAAGCCCTGTACATGTACTGCCCCTGTGGCGGCTACTTGGCCCATCCTTTGGTCTATCATCTGCCAATTGTGGACTAAGAGCGGCCGACAGACCGGATAGAATGCCGGCAGTGAAGCAAACCGGAGGAACATTTGCACTGTCGAGCCCCGCGCTCACTCGCTGGTTCGCCACTGGCAAACGACCAAAATGACAAGCCAACTAAGAGAACTGTATACAGAGTGCTTGAATCCTTTGGGCTTTATCAAGCCGGACTTATATTGAAAGTTCAACGCTACTTGGGGAATATACAACCCGTCCCTCTGCTTGCGAGTTATGATTATTATAACGCCCTCAAATGCATATGAACACCCTGTGAACTCCATGACACCCATGCTTCGTAACGCCGTTGTAACTGGAGGCAAAATGCCCCATGTGATGTAGATATTACGGAGCTGCAATAGCCAACTCTCCTTTGTCACTTGCCAGCTCAGATCACCGGGGGCTAGTAAGGAAAAGCTCCTCGGATCGGGTTGTCATCGACCTCTGCAGAGGCCGCGAAGGGCTGCCCGACGTATTTGAGATTGGCGAGACAAGGTCGCCTAGATACGAAGACCGGTCGTCAATGGTCGGGGCGTACCAGCCATGTGGAGGAGCAGTCGCGGGCGGCTCTGCGGCAGACAGCAACATCGCATCAGCCATACTCAATCTTGAGGGCTCTTCCTGGTCCCTAGGCCACCAACTCATGGACTCTTTTGGCCCCTGGAACCACCACTGGTTCTCAAAGCCGTTGTCGACCGTCATCATAGCAGCTGACAGCGACTCGAGCTCCCGTGTCCTCTCCGGATCATCGTGGCGGCGTCGCTCTGGTGAGATCCGCACCGTTGTTGGCTGATTTGCGTAAGGCGGTTCGTCGTCGTCGCCCTCCTCGCTCTGAGATGGGGCATGAGGGTCAGCAGGCCATGCCCAAGCAGACCAAGGCAGCCCATCCTCCCCCAGGCGAAATCTGCTGGGCGCTGCAGGCAATGGCTTCCATAAACTCGGCTGTTCTAGGCTCGTCTGTGGCCCGGACGGAAATAGAGATGCCGACGGCCCCGGTTCGGTATCCCAGGGGCTCCCGTGGAATGGTGGCGGCGCCGACTTTCCCCTCTCGTGTGAGAGCCCCCGTGATTCGCTCCTTGACTCCCTTCGCTCATGTCCGTGCTCCTGCTCATGGCCTGGACGCGGACGCGACGCCCGCCCTTGGTCCCGTGGCCGCTCGTAGTCCCTCTCGTGTTGAGCTTGCGGCTGTTGGAGTCGCGACTGATGGTGGTGATATTGTTGCTGTTGCTGGTGATAGCGGTCAACCTGGTCACGCTGTTCCCCCGGTCGCTGTTGACGGTTGTCCACAGTCAAGAAATTGGTGTTCGGCGGCGGTAGTTGCCGGGGAAAGCTGCGGCTGGCGCGAGAGTCTCGTAGGTTGCGCGACGTGTAAGTGACCGTGTGAGTCCGCGGCGAGTGCCGCTGCGACCACGACAGGCCGAACTCGAGGTGTACATAGACCTGTGGTTTAGACATGGGGTTCCGCTCACTCGGCAGGTTGTGGTTGTGGTCCATGACGACGGGTTCCGTCCTCCGCGCAGGCCGTCCAGGGAAGTATGTATTAGGGTCGGAGACCAGACTGCCGCTCGAATTGCGGCGGCAGACTGGGATAAGTAAGAGGAGACGACGACCAGTTCGTCGGGAGGCACGTCAGGCACCGTAGGATGCGATGCCCTGGCCACTAATGGAATGCTGTGCCCAGCTAAAGTAGTGCTTGAGCTGCACTAAAATGGAGGCCAACTAGATTGCGGCCGGTCCCAAATGCGTGCCGTGGGTACTGTCAGGAGTATTTTGGTGCTGTGCAGAGTGCTCGGCTGTCCCAAGTGGCTGGCTCGAGAATGGGTTGCCGTGTCACGATGTGTCTCATGGGCCAGGAAAGAGGAGCGGATTCGCGACGGGGCTCGACTAAGAAGTGGCACAACCGCACACTGCCGCTGGCCGCGGTTCTTCTCAATGCGGCTGGGGAAGCTCACAGGAATGTCTGAGTCGTGCCCAGCGGATTTTGCGGATGGACTAGCAGGCCCCCTTCCAGATGGCCGTATATTTTGTCAGAAGAATGATCCGCAAGCCGCTGAATGAATGACACCATCAGGACGGCGGAAGTCTGATGAAGGCGGTTTGTTGGGAGGGCAAGATCGGATCACACTGGCTCGCCTACAGTACATATGTATGTATGTATGAATGATAAGAAGAGCACCACCCTGCTTTCTGTGGTCCGCAGACGAGCCGACCGGTTCGATAAATGTCTAACCAACTTGCAGTGCGCACATACTAGACTAGACTGTACCTCCTCCTGTACATGGGCAATGATATGCGGCGCACCCGCAACGGGCCCGACAAATGGTAGGGAAATGGGTACGTCGGCAAGCACTTTGGAGCACGGGGATCCGTATGCAGCGAGGGTCCTGGCCACACCGGAGGCACGGTGTCTTTTGGTGCTGGATAGCTTCGCCTCGCATCGCACGAACAAGGCGAGCTAATACCTCGCGAATACCTAGATGGAATGGGCTTGGGTCGAAGGATGTTGATCCCTGGGGGCTGTGCGTGGGGACTTGCGAGTACCATGTACCATACCACACAGCAGCCAACGGAGGTGCTCAATAGGGCTAGATCGCCAAGTGCTTTCGCACCCGACACGATGATGGGATGAGGACTTGCGACGAAACATCAAACAAAACGGTCACGGAGGCGGGACTGATGCCAGTTGGTAAGGCTCTTCGTGTCATCTACTATGGGGTAACGGAGACAACCCTGCCGCTGGATCTCCTATCCGTGGTTTCTTAAACAGATTGAAACAGGAGGAGGCTCTCTCGGGTCTCCGAGGTACTTCGTGTGCCATCTCTGGGGCGTCCGAGGGGGAGACAAGTCGGTGTAAAGGGGGGCGTCGTTTCGTCGACGAGGGGATACCGAAATAACAGAGATGTGTAGACCGACTAGCCCTTGGTGAGTGCATACTTGTACTATGTACACAGCAACTTGACCAACAACCCATGCGTCCCCTGTCCCTTGCTGAGATCAATTGTTTTCTTTGCTGTCGACTACTTACCGCTACAGCATCACAGCAACTTACTACTCTATATAATGAGTCAGACCCAATTCCCTAGAGTGGTGGCGTCCACATATCTACGGCGGACATAATGTGCCGTCTCCAACCTAGCTGGATGAGGCTATTGTCGGGTGATAAGAAACTTGCTTATTCTTGCCGGCGTGGACATCCCAGTACCCAGACAGATTTCGTGTACAATGCAGATCTGTGTGAAAAATAAAATAAGATAAAAAAGTGCGTGTGTATGTATATGTGTGTGTGATGGCGGTGCTGCAGGTGCCACTGACGACAGCGCGTGTCTCCCAGAAAGACCTTGGCGTAGCCCTGCTAGCGCTTCGACGAGAGCGGCCAAGTGACAGCTAAGTTACATACATGACGGGTTGGATACCTACAACCGCGGGGTTCAAGCCGCGGTGATGGGCAGTCGATCTCGCTGGGCCTTACGGGGGGGAGCAAGGGGACGGGCAGACGGGGTACACCGGTGCGGTGCCCGAAAAAAAGACGTTCAGGGAAGGGCATGGATGCCGAAAATAGCAGCACCATGTGGAGCAGCCCCGAGTTAGCGGGCAACAATTTATCGCTCTTCGCCGCTGGGATCCACCCTCTTTCTGGGTCGCTGTCTGTGGCACACAAACCTCACAAAGTGGTCATCAAACAGGTGCCTGGCACAGCAGTCCGCCACTGCGCACATTACTATTGCGCCGTATTCATTTCATGCAGTTTCCATATTGATTGTTGTCAGAGAACAAAGCCGCCCGCTCTGCCACATTCCTCTCATCCCTGCGGCGTAACTTTTCCCCCGTCCTTTTTTTTTTTTTTTTTTGTCGCCCGGGAAGCCCACGAGGTATACACATGCTTGACATGACATAGAGCTCGACTCAAAGTCTGGGCATTTCTTGAATACAGTACACAGTAGGAATTCTTGCTCGTTCCGAAGGAACGACAAAGAAAAGGGGCAATCTCCGGCTTGCTATGTCGCTAGGCCTTGGAAATAAAAGAGCCCTAAAATCCTTCCGTTCCCCGTCTGAGCGCTCGCGGCCGACACTGTGGATTGAGAAAGACATGTCCACCTCCCAAGACCTTCAACGGCCCTGGGATTTGCACTTCTTACTTAGATGATACGTGAGGTCCTCGGCCTCGGGTATACAGCACAGTGTATTCAGACATTGTAAAGCTGCTGTAGCACATCATGGTAGGGCATACTCCAGCTGTTTGCCAGGGGCTAGCCCCTTTCACAACAGATCGTTGAATTGGATTCGCCGTGATCCTTGTCATCGACGTGAAGCGTGGTTCAGACGGTGTTCTCCAGAAGTACCAGGGGGGGTGTCGGTTGGAAGGGACACGCGCTTTTACATGCCTGCACTTCAAGGTTCTGTTGGACTCGGGCGATGGCATGCCAAGGGGGCTGTACAATAATCATCTACAGCGTCTATAGGGGGGTGGGCCTGCAATCGGAATTCAGTGTAAGTATTTCGCTAGTAATCAAACACGATCTCTTTTTGACGGTTTCCCAACTTGCCCGGCCAGGCCGTCTGCTGGGTGAGAATTAGTTACTAGGCAAGGCTGCAAGGCCAGTTGCCCAATTGAATACACCTGGGCCTGGCTTTACCTACAACACTTGTTTTGCGTATGTCTAGTACAAGTGACTGTACGCTATCACCTTGAACGGAGTTTGAGTGAACCTTGTGAGCCCAGGACTCGGAGGGGACGACCAGTGGAACAAGAACGTTGCATGGAGTACAACTTATCCAACCTGTTTGCCCACGAATGGCACGTGAAGGCTGGACTACAACGCTATCGGCTATGATCCGCAACTGCTCCTTGGATCAAAACTATTGCTTCTATAGATAGAAGCGCCAGCTCCGTTGTCCTTTGATTGCTCCTTGATCGATAGGCCAGGGAAACGCACTCCACCTTTGAAGGAGGTAGACTCCCCGCTATCTATCCCCTTCTACGAATTGCTCGTCGTCTTAATCCCAGGGTATCCTCCACCCGGATGCTTCAAAGAGGCGGTGTGGTTTGCAATGCATTGAGGTCCTACATGTCCCATGCTATTTTCCAGTAAGGGCCTCGCCTGCCGAATGAAGGTGGGTATCACCAAGCTGTTGTTTCCCTTCTCCGTGACGACCATGCCACACGCTGGCGGCCGAGAAAGGTCTTTCCCGGTGACCAAGTATTTGAGTATGGTCATGTTGGTATGCAACATAGCTATTTTAGTGGTTCGGTATATGTGGGCGTCAACGGCAGGGTAAGAGTCTTCTGGTAGCGACCGTTTTACTCGTGCACGCGGTTGCGTCCATGCCAACCAACTGGCATCATGTGCAAGGCCAGGGCCGAAATACTATGGCAGTGTCAAAAACCGTAAGATATCTTTCTCTCAACCTGCTACGCGGGTAGACCGAGCTATCCAACACTTTACTTGAGACTAACTCTTTATACAGTTTCTATACACCCACAGGTAGACGACAGCGCGCCTAGGGTCAACAAGAGAGAAATCCGGGCGGGAAGCAATGTGGCACTCTGTGTGGACTTGTTGCATCTAACGGTCGGGTGTGGACAAAATATGTTAAATGAAGCCGCTTACGATACGCAGTCTCGTTCTTTGTCCCATACGAATGCGCCCCAGTACACGCCAGCCTAAACCTCGAGAGCGCGGAAGAAAGCAGGGCTCTCGTAGCCTTCAACCACCTTCGACACGGGGGCTGCTTGTGCTTCGATCCCATCCTCAGAGTTCGAGAAACGACGGATATACAGCTGAGCCACCTTGATCCACATGGCCTTTTCGGCCTTGCTGGCTCCAGAACCTTGCCAAACCCATATATCAGAGCCAGTGTCCAAGAGGAAAACATCGTTGCTATCAAGGTCCGACTTGTTGGTTGACCCACCGTCCTTGACCACGTCGAGTGACAGCTGTCCCGAGGCATCAGAGAGCCGGAAGAGTCGGCGCGGCCTCTGGTGGTCCGCTCTCTTTGCAGATACGATGGGTCTCGAGGCCTTGAGGTCCAGGTGGTCTGCATCTTCGCCACCAAGCAAAGTCACAATGGCGCGCGATCTAGATTCGGATTGGGATACGACCTCAACGTCGACATGCTTTGCGATAGTCATGTCATGGACGACCTGGGCCGCCTTGGCCTTCTCCATGGGGCTGCAGTTCTTACCCTGCCAGACCCAGATTTTGTCATTCTTCTCTAAAACGAAGACGTCATTCTCATCGAGGCTCTGCCACTTGGGCTCAACTTCGTGAACCATGATGGAATCTGCACGCTTGGCAGAGGGATGCTTGAAGATTCTTAGCAACAGCAGTGTCTCCCTTGGCTGCTCATCTGTCTCCACGTGGGTAAAGCCTGAGCGTACGCCTCCCGACAAGATCGAAATACGCGGAAAGAGCGCCACGAAATCATCCGAAGGCTCGTGTTGAAGTTCCCGATGCTGGATGGCGACGCCATGTAGGAACTCATCAAGCTCAACTGTTTTATACTAGAGGCTGGCTTAGTATAATTTCCAAGGCTAGGACTGGCACTGCTTGAAAGATGCCGCCCGAGGGAGGTGGCGAGGATTTGAACTCAAAAGGGTTTACTCACTGCAGCAGTGCCAGCCTCATCCTGAGACGTTTTGCTGCCCAACCAAAAGAATATATCGTGGCCCAGTTTCTCCTGTCCATCCTTGGCCCCGACTTTGTAGGAGTGCAAGACGATATAGCTGTCGCCCTCGTGAAACTGGCCGTATTTCTCCTTTGGCCATGGAATCACTTGGAAATCCTCAATGCGCCAGACATACAGCCCTGCGGCTTGCCCGATCTGCCCGGTAGTCCAAGCAGGTTCCGTAGCCGCCGAGTTGTACTTGACGCGGTGATCAATATCAGAGCCTACAAGCTCGACGTTGCTGTCCCGCCAGTCATACTCCTTCTGGTGTACTAAGCCTTCGTGCGGGGCCATTGTAAATTTCGGGCAGCCCAGTCGAACAGAGAAAGCCTTGGCGAAGTGTTGTGGTATGTGAAGAAGGAATCAGCAGTCCTGATAGCGATGCAGAGTGCAGGACTTGATGTTTAAAGACTTTGTGGCGTGTGATGGTTGCTGAAGGCAGGTCAATGTAAGCTTGGCAAAGGCGCGTGCAAGGAGCTTCGCCCCAAAAGTGACGTCGAGTGGCTCCTGTAGAAGAGCTGAAACGGTCGGGTGCTTCGCTGTTCGTAACCCCAAGCGCCTCACTTTAACAAATTCACTGCTTTCACATGTGCACCGGCTTCGTCCTCTTGTTCTATCAGTACGTTATACACCCGATGCTTCTGGGCTGCTGGGTGCCGTCAATGGAGGCCTGAATGCGCATTCCCATCACTGGGACCCAACTACTGCCAGTGCAACAAGTCTATGTCACAACTTTATTTCCATACGAAGCGCGTATGTTCAGGGCCTAATTGGTTGCAAATCCTCCTTCCCCCCCGGCCATGGCGACATACCATTGCCAGGTACTTTCTATGGCAATTTCCCTGAGTATATGCTCAATATACATATGTGTTTAACTTGATCCAAAGCGAGGGTGAGCTTCGTACGATTTCTGGGTGGATGGATAGGGTGGATCACATGCAGATCCATGACAAAACTTTTACAGCACTAGGGAAGTATTAAGACGGCTTTTCTCAACAAGGTAAACTACACCTTCTCAGGTCCTTTGGCCCAATGGCAAGGCGTCTGACTACGACCGGATTCGATCCGAGCAATCAGGAGATTCTGGGTTCGACCCCCAGGAGGACCTTCTTTTTTATCTTTGATGTTAGCTGTTAGCTGCATTTACCCATGTTCACGTCTCGGGGTAATTCTTTCTTTTGGACCTCTCAACATGCTTCGTATCGCTGCCAAATTTACGCTACATTACATACCTCCAACCGTGTAGTTTAACTGCGCTCTTCACAATACTCTTCGATGTGCAGGCAAAGGAGAGGCGATTCTCATGGCTGCTTGGAGCGAATATGCTGATAGTCGAAGTTTGCGTGGCAAGACCACTTGTCAGTCCCTGTCCATGTACCTACACTGTAGATGTTTCCACTCCCTGCCGCCAGTCAATTCTTTCCCCCGTGCAAAGTAAAGCACTGGCGCGGTACCAGTAGCTACAATGTATGTATATACGGGAGATACAACACACATGATTGGTAAGAGATTACCCCTCATCGTCCAGCTGGCAAACCCCCAATAGCCTCTGGGCCCCGCCTGGCAGACCCTGCGACTCGCCCTGCGTCATTCTCTCTCACTCATGGGTGGAGGTCCGGATGGGCTCGTCCAATGCGCTCACCCGCCCGGGGACTGGCATGGGCTCACGATGTCGGCGTCTCGGCGTCTCGTTGTCTTTGTTCCTGACGCGCAATCTTCCGTTGGCAGTGAAAAGTGGTGACCAAGCTCATCCCACTCGCCCTTTGAACTGTCCTTCATCATCAGCAATTAGTAACATGACCTAAGGTCTAATCCACAACCCCCTTCTGACGGTACCTGCTTCCTTCGCCGTACCTGCTCCCTGTATTCTGTGCCCGACAACGACGACGTCCCGCCCTCCGACCTGTGTTCCCCCGAGTGCAGGAACCCCTGGTTTGGTTTGGGGCTCTTCTTTCCGGCCTGGATGCAGAATCAGCCACCATGCCCATCAAGATTCGGTACAAGGCGCCATCAGGCGGAGGCACACTCGACTTGGACGATACCGCCACTGTCGGCCAGCTCTTCGATGCCCTAAAGGAGAAGACGGTCTCCAGCGACATTACCATCAAATACGGTTGGCCTCCGAAGGCCCTGGCTGCGGATCAGGTCGAGACGTCCGTGGTTTCACTCAATCTACACCGCGAGAGCCTGACAGTAGTTCCTGCCGAGACTGCTGCTCCGGCCCCAGCTCCAGCTCCGGCAGCGACGGCCCCGGCCGCTCCGGTCCCGGCGGACCTGTCATTTGCCCCCAAGGATGTCAAAGACAGGCCAGTCACCATAAAAATGCCCACGGACACGTATCTTGGTATGCTTGACCACGAACCACGGCTGGCGATAAACGCGGCGCATGGAAGCTAATCTGTTCCTCCCATACACAGTGCTCCGGGTCATGCCCGACGACAACTCATGCATGTTCACCGCCATCGCTGGCGCACTTCGAGGCACGAACACCGGCCTCGATGGCTCCTCTCCCGACAAGCTCCGGCGCATCGTGGCAGACCATATCCTCGCAAAGCCCGATGTCTACACCAAGGTTGTGCTCGAGAAGGAACCTAGAGACTACTGCGCCAATATGCTGCGACCCGACGTGTGGGGAGGCGCCATCGAGCTTGGCATCATCTCTGAGGTTTTCGGCATCGAGATATGTGTTGTCAACGTCAAGGTATGCTGCTTTGACGACATCAAACCACTCGCTCGAGCTGGATTTCTAATGCTCTTGGGCAGGAAGGCACTATCATCAAGTACGGCGAGGACCAGCACGAGTTGCGCTGCGTGTTGGTGTGGTCCAACATACACTACGACCGGGTCGCTGAGATATTCGACGAGAACCAAGTAGAGGACGACTTCGACGTGACGACGTGGAATTGTCTTGAAAGTGACCATATCCTGAAGAGCGCCAAGGACCTCTGCAGGAAGTTGAAAGACGAATACCACTACTTCACCGACACGAGTGACTTTGTCGTCAGGTGTAACCAGTGCGGTTGGATTGGGCAGGGCGAGAATGCTGTTGTCATGCATTCTACCAAGACCGGGCATATTGCCATTGAGGAGATTCCCGACTCTTGAACAGAATGTCCCTGCAGCTGTGTGCAACATTGGCGAATGGTGACGGTCTTTTCCGAAAGGCGAGTTAACCAGCATGCATGAGTGAGTTCCCTGCGATGCTATACTAGCATATAGCTACTATACTGATCACGTGTACAGGCTGTGGCTCACGCTAGCAAAGCTACAGCATGGATATCGTGTTGACTATGGCGGGCTCCCAGAGGCTTGCGGTTCAGCGAATCGGTACGACCTAGATACCTCTACCTATTACGAGCTAGAAACAGCATCTTTGACCTTTTCCACTACCGTTGCTTTGTGTGTCAAACCGCCCCCGAAGCTATGCTCACTGTTCTTGCCACCTGCTGTCACCTTGCCCTCTTTCACACCCGTCTCAAACGCACATGTGCCCATCTCGAGGGCCTTGGCTGGACCGGAAGGCAAGATGTCAAAATCGAAAATATCCACGGGGAGACCAATGGTGGTACAGGCGTTGGGGATGTCCACGATACCAGCAACATGGCCTTGAATGGGAGCACACGACATCAGGAGGTATATCTGGTAATCGCTGTACCCAAACCTGCGAAGATATTCGATCAAACCTGGATCAAGTTGTTAGCATCGGAAACCTTATCTCACATGTCCTTAGTGGTCACCTACGGAGGCAAGTCTGTCGGTAGGCAACAGTTACATCCATGTAATGCTGCTTTCCGTGCTCGTCAACTGAGAACCCTTCAAAGTAGATGTACCTTCCGGGCCCAAACTGGGGCTCAACTGGGCCAGGGATGTAGATGGGCGACTTCATCCCTAGGTCCGCCATACCGTTCTTCATCACCTTGAAGTTGATGGTGATAATTCCCGCCATTTCAATGGCACCGCAGAACGAAATTTCGCCATCGCCCTGGCTAAAGTGCAGATCACCCACAGAGAACTTGGCGCCCGGTACATGAACGGGCAGGTAAACCTTGCTGCCTCGACTGAGGTTTTTAATGCTGGGTTATCCCATCAGCACCTGGGATATCAAACGTGGGATAAGCAGCCTAGAGACCCGGGCTTTTAGGGATCTAAGGGTGCTTCTGACTTACTCGCAATTACCACCATGCTCGGGTCTACCAGGCACGGTTCTCGCGCCCTCCTTTCCCACCTTTTCCTTGATGGCCGCATCCCCGGAGCCTGCATGTGCGCAAACGGGATTAGGTGGCAGCGCGACGTCGCGGTCGAGCTTGTTGGCGGCAATCAGCTCTCCCTCGCGCTGGTTCCAGATCTCGAGAACCTCGGCCGACGGTGCGCAGCCCAGGATGCCTGGGTGGATGAGCCCTGCGAACTTGACGTGCGGGATGTGGCGCGAGGTGCAGTAGATGCCCTCGAAGTCCCAGATGGCCTTGGCGCTGGAGGACCTCGTTAGATGGGGTAACAAAGTCTTCTGAAGGATAGCAGGGGGGGGGAGTAGGTTATTCAGATGCTGATTGGGCAATGAGGCAAAGCCCAGATCCTGGGACCAGACTCACGCTGAAGGATATATCTCATCCAGGAAACCTCCACCATTGTTTTTATCAAAGACTCCCGTAAAACCCCAGGGTTGATCCTATATTTCCATTTGCTATCAGCGTCCGATAACCACGCGAAATGCACTCTCGGACAGCATGACCAGGAAGCAGGGTATGATCTTTGGAGCTCATGAATAGGCAGGAAGTTATACGTGATACGGGTGGAGGGTCCAGGAGATTCAGCCAAACTTGACGTGGCTTACCTGGAATGGTTGCACGTCCATAATCTCCACGAGTAGCATATCACCGGGCTGCGCTCCCTCAACTTCGAATGGCCCAGTGAGGTAGTGTATTTTCGTCAAATCCACGTTGCGAACATCGTCCGCGCTATCGTTGTTGCCGATTTGCCCACCGGTCCTGAGCGAGCACCAGTTAATAATTGTCATGCAGTTTCCAGGTATGTCTCGTATGGGGACTTCTGCGGCAGTCCTCGCTTCTACCCCATAGAGGGTGGCGTGTGAACAGAGGAGAGTGATGGAGTTGGCCTTACCAATCCACGCATTCGATCTTCACGGTCTCCCCATCCTTTATAGTACCGGCGAACGGGACTCAAGCACAGTTAGTTCTACATATTCCCGCAAAAGCCTACGCTAGAGGATAACCTACTATCCGGATGCCATCTGTTCTAACATATCAAGTTAAAACCGTTCCGGCTTGCGTGTGCTATTAATGTGTTGGACTTACATGGAGAACCTCCTGCTCGTCTGCTGGCTTATCGAAGCTCACCTTCCCCACGGTGCGGATTCCGGAGAGTCCCATGATATCCAGTGGCAATCTTATAGGTTAGAGAAAGGGCCAGCTTCACGCCTGTTTGGTAATGCGAGTAGAATGGGAGCTATCACGGTTTAAACTGCTAACTTCAAAGTGCTTCTTCCGGTCAGCCTCTCATCTATCTAATATATGTATGGAGGTCGCTCCCAGAGCTACCCCGCATACTCCCCACGCTGATATGCCGAGCGTTGTCCGTGTGTATCAGACGTCATGAGGCAGGATTGGGAGTGCTTTATCTCCTGAAGGCCTGCCCACGGTTTGTTGTAGTCATTCATTGGGGTAGTTAGCTTATCGTGTACGCTTGGTCCACTGAGGTGGCGCCTCTGGGTTCCGTTCTGCGATTGCAATGATAAGACTGTCCGCAATCTCCGATCCCCACCGATGTACACCAACCGTCAATGAAAACCCAGACTGCACGTAGCCGAAAGGTGACCATGTAATTCCGATAAACTAGTGGACTCCATGGGTATGGATTTGCACTGGGTGCGACTAACAAATAATTACCGGGACCACGTTCTAGAGGACTTTTCAAGGCTGGCTCGCGAATACAATCATAACCCAGTACCTCAGGTATGGAGTTTGGGGAAATGGGAATCGGAGTGCCGATGCCTGATTGCACAATACGACTACATGTCTTTTCTGCCCTCGGTGGCTTGTTGGTAAGAAGGGGGTTGAGAGGGCATACCCGAAGAAGCGCCTCCAGTCGCCCTGGACGGCGTATCATGGCGGGCGTGCAGAGAATCCAAGTCGAAGAGCGACAGGCTCAGAAACTCGTGCTTATTTCTCCAAACCTGCTGGCTCGCGGCGAAGTCCCGGCCCTGCGATGGCGGCGGCGGGGGATCCGTCACCTTGGTGATGAGGTATGCGGTTGACGCCTCGGCAATGCCATATATCAAGACGCCAAGCAGCGGCACACGCAACAGGGTATAGAAACCAATGCCAAAGCCGAACAAGAGTCCCTCCCGACTGCGAAACCAGTTCTTCTTCTCGGCCTTGGTCATGTGAACACGCGCAAAGTACGGCTCGAGAAGTTCGCGCATGAGGCTGCGCGACGCAAAGTAAGTCTGCAAGAAGATGACCAGATATCGTCTGGGGAAGAATAGGCCAGTCCCAAAGATGACGGCAGCCGGTCCTAGGCCGACCGCTTTGTTGAAGGTATAGAAACTGGCAGCCGGAAGGACCAGTCGGCCAACGTACGGGATATAGGATAGCGCGAAGATGGCCAAGGAAATGGCCGCCTTTCGACCGAAGCGGTAAAGATACATGGTCAAAGCCTCGGCGGTGCTTGTCGAGTGGGTGCTGCCGTCCTTGGTCTTGTACTGGCGAAGGTTCGGGTAGAACATGTCCCGCAGCTTGTCGGGATCCTCGTTCTTGTGCTTCTGGACGTATGTCATGTCCACCCAGCGGAGGGAATCCATGAACATGTTATCCAGGGTCGGCGTCACGTAGCGCATCAGCGTCATGAGAAACAAGGGCGCTTGGAGGACGTGGTTGGCGATGAGCTCGAGAGCGTCGACGAGGTTCTCGTCCCATGATGCCTGGTCGAGGTTTACAAACAAGGCCAGCAAGCGGATGCCTATCTTGATGGCTATGATCTGGGACGAGGTTCAGGAATGGACCTAGGCAAAGTACGGGGCACTGGGCGGCGTATACTCACAGGCAGAGCTATCAGTAGACGAATACCAATCCCAGCGCCGACGGCGAGAGCGGCCTGCTTATAGTGATCGTTGTTGAAGATGTCGGGATTCTGCAAGGCGCGATGTGCTGCGAGAATGGCGAGTTAGCTGATGCTCAACTCTCAACTCGTATGTGTCGCGTCTACGGCATGTTTTCGGTGATGTGTCGCGTGCTCCATCTCGGCCCTTTGCCGGATAGCTTACCTCCAACCAGGGTCAATTGCACGCCCCGCAGTATGGCATTGATATCAAAGTGCGAGAGGTCAAACGCCTTTTTGACCTTCTCCTTGTCGGCGTCGGAGATCTTGAGCTCAGACATGGCGTGGTGCCGAAAGCCAGTGGGCTCTAGGCTCTGGGCTCAGCCTGCTCTGGGCTCTGGGCTCTGGGCTCCGGGCTTTTGAAAGGGACTATGAATGGCTCGAGAGAGAGAGGTTGTGGCCTGCTGCTCTGTCCCAGTTCGCTTTCGTGGAGGGGTCCTGGGGGATAACGTAGTTCAGTGCTTGCCAACTTGCCGTCTTGTCTGTCTTGTCCGCGTCAACTTGGAGCAGGTGGTGGGGGATGACGACACGATGCCAAGGAGAATCCAGGCACAGATCCGAGATCCGGGTTGGCACGGGCCCTATCGACCAGCTTGACTTAGCGATAGCGCTAACTTGAGTGCTGGTAGGAACAGTCACTTACATAGTAGGTAGTCACATAGGTTTGTCCCAAGGTGTTCCAGCCCATTGCGCATTGTCTGGAGCGTGATCCCAGCCTGGATGAGGCTCTCGCTCTGTTTCCGTGTTGCACTCGTACACAGCAGTGCGAGTCGGCAATGACCGTACTGTCTGGCGTGTCTGGCTCAACAGCCTAGAGAGCCCAGTTAGATAACTATGGGAAGCACAACTTGTATCGCGCGCGTTCACGGTTAGGCATCTATCTGTATCTACGGTACAGCAGCTCCAACCTGGCGAGCCTGGATAGGACGCGCAAGGTAGCATCTCCTTGGTGTCCAGACTTTGGGAGACTCGGTCAATGTTTGTAAAAGCGAGGAGCAGGTCGTTCCCGTAGAGAGTGACAGGAAAGTAGCATTTGAGCCGATCTGTGGACATTGCTACCGAGAGTCTATTGTACATAACATCGCACTCCAGATGTCTCCTATTACGAGTGAAATCACAGTTTCGAGTTGATTGGCCAATTCAGCTCACGAGGCGAGGTTGCAGTCTGCCGGTAGGAGTGGTCAGGAGTAGCTCGGCTCTTAGCGAACACCCCGGCCCTACGGCGGTACTATGTACTCGCCTTCAATGGAAACCCCCCCAGATCATCACCGGGGTTCCCTAGCCGCCGCCCACCCTGCCACCCCGTGTGCTCGTCCGAGCTCCCCCGATTCTGCAAGCCTTGTTCCTGATCTTGTCTGGGATAGGCTTCCGTGTGTCGCAAACTGTATCACTATACCATCGGCCTTTATATCACTATAGCGGGCAGTCAACAAGCGACTGACTGCCTGTGCCCAGGTGCTTCCATTTTCTTTCCCAGTCGGTCTGGCTCTCCCCATCCCTTGCCTGGGCCACAGACTCGCCTGCGCCGACCCAGAACCCACGACCTTTAAGCACCGACAAGCTCACCCGCACCCGACCTGTCAGCTTTTCCCTCTCGCCTCTCCGGCCAGTTGACCTCCTCTCGCCCGCACAAGCTTGGAGCATCGCCATGCTGGCCTCGTAGCGCCCTACGCTTCGTTTCCTTCACCAGTCCCGCCATCTGGAGAATGCGCGACAATGGAGGCCGCGAGCTCCTCGACGGCTCGATTCCCTGCTCCTCGGCGCGTAGCGACTGAGCCAGCGCCTTTCGCCCCCCGAAGGTCGCTCTCCGTATCCTCCACATCCTCGCGACCCGGCACGTCTAGCGGACCAAAGGGAGGTGACGAGTCGATCGAGACTCTGTACAATCACCCGTCCGTGAAGATCATCGCATTCACCTCGAGTCAACGACCTTCGTACGGCGGCGCGACCCTGTTCGAGGATCCCAAACCCGGCTCTCTCCCCGCGTCAACCCAGCTGGAACGGACGATAGCAGTTGGTAAGTCGGCACTACCAAGGGAGCCACTGAAAGAAATCGACTGCTGACCAAACCCTCACCCAGGCCCATTTCGTATCTACCGTGCCCCGGGCTCCGTCGCCTTTCTGAGCTGCGGCTCAGCCCTGCAGCCCATACTGCCGAAGTCGCAGTGCTGGTGTATCGACGAAGCCAACAGTCGCTTCGTTCTCCAGATCCGACGGCCCCAGTACTGGAGGATCGAGGTTCCGGTATCTGATCCTGAGGATGCTCATCGTGCCTTGGTGTTACGCGACGTCCTTGACAGCATCTTGCTGTTCGAGAAGACCGAATGTCCTTTCCAGAGGAGCTTCACAGTCGCACTGCCCGAACGGCCACAGACGCCAGTCAAGAAGAAGCCTTGGACTGCCGAAGGGAAGAACCTGATATCGTCGGCCTTCTCATCGGATATCTCTCCGCCTTTACCTTCAAGGAAGATCACCAACGACAAAAAACGCACCAGCGTCCCGGTGGAGCAAGTTGCGGATCAGGGTGAGGTTGCAGAGCTACAAGCTACCGTACATGATTCCCCTCGCTTTGAAGAGATTGGTCAAACCGAGCCCCTGGAAGGCGCCAATCCGAGAAAAGAACCCCAGGAAGCCGGCGCAGGTCAGGAGACCACTCCCGAGGTTTCGTCAACTAAAGCAGAAACGAGTCCTCCTGATTCTGTTGCGAGCGGTCTCGAGATATTTTCTGGGCTCAAGGCTTCTGATCAACAACCACTTTCCACACAAGCACGGGAAGTTGAAGCGCACACCGACGAGCCGGCTAGGCCTCAAGCTACTTCATCTGCTGACCGGCCCAGCAAATCGGCTGACGAGGTACCTACGGCAAGCCCTCTCGTACCAACGGTATCTCCGTCGAGTAATGAAAAGGCTACGAAAACATGCATTCTACCTCCTTCACGGGTAAGCCCGGCGGTAGGCAGCGGACCTCCCGCGCCTGTACAACACGATCGAGCTAAAGCGCCGGTAGCTCACCCAGAAGTACCGACCAGCAGCGTCGAAAGCGATCAGCCGATACCGAGTGCAGTGACCTCCACTGGAGATTCTCTTGTAAAGACTACCCAGGAAGCAACACCACCACCTCCAGATAATCCTGTTGTGGGGATACAGACCACCCCTGGAGCAGAGGAGACAGAGCCTCAATCTTTTGAAGGCGCCGGGAGCGTTGGAACTGTCAATCTCAAGAAGAAGCGAATGAGCCGCATGTTGGCCGGTCGATCCGTGACCCTTCCCCTACAGCTCACCATTGTAACTTCACCACCAACGAAGACAAGCCAGGGTCCCTTGGTTGAGGCATCGGTAGCAGAGCCATCTTCGTCGCCATTGCAACCATCCTTGAAGGCAGATGATACCTCTCCCGTTGGTTCCATGGACTCTTTCCACAGCGTGCAGTCTTGGCATAGCCCAATCACCCCGCTTCCACCGTCGCCGCCGTCCTCTTCGCCTTCACCCCCATCATTTCCGTACCCCCATGAGGACATTATCATACCTAGCAAAGGGCAGTCATCCATACGAGATGCTTCAGGTTCTGCTGCAACACCAGTCACAGCCAGTACGTTGGTACCTAGTTCGGCAGGGGCTACTATTCGTACTCTTGGTTCAGATTCTCCAGACCCTTCGTCGCCTGCCCATAGCTCGAAGCCCTCCAGTCCTACCATCGTACTACCTGCCGACTCGGAGTCTCATCCGTCTGCTCTCCCAGAACGCTTACAAGCAAGACATCGCCAGAAGGGAAATAACCTTTCGATCAGCAGACGTGCGCTATCACCCCTACCGCCTGCCGCAAATCTTTTCTCACCGCAGGTGCGGCGACGCCCAAGCCGACTTGAGCTAGTCCGCAAGCTCCCTAGTGCTATCATCCACAAGACGGTTGAGATACTTCTCTCGCCTCCCAGTCACTTGGTCAGCCTGATGCTCAAGGTTGCTGCTAAGATCGCAGCCGGAGAATGGAGAGGCTTGGTGTTTGGCTTGGGTGAGGGCGGGGAGAGCATCCCAGTCCACTGGGACTACTCCGATGACGAGCTCAGTACGTGGGAAGATGACGACGACTACACATTTTCTCTCGGGCGATTCGCGCGAAGACAGAACATGACGGCCAACTTCTCTGATGGTCAAGACACCACTCGCCCGGAAAACCGTGATGGAGCCGACGGGAATGATCGCAGTTGGGAAGTCGACTAGAGTTGACACCTCCCGTTTCGGCATCTCGCGCGAAGCAAAGAGCATGAAATATACCCATGATTGAACTGAACGAAACGACATTGTACTATTATTAATGGCATGGCTCCGGAGTTTAGATGAAGTCATCACTGATGCATTGCCATGTCAACACCTTTGCTTTTGGACTGGCGTTTGGTACGGCATGGGTACTTGGGATTTGGATTTGGTGGCCTACTTTCTGCGGTGCTATCCCACGATGTATAACGACGCAGATAATGTCACTGCACATTGCGTATAGTAAGGATCTAATAATTGCTGAAAACAAATAGTCGGCAAGGTAATAACGAGGCTGGCAAAATGCCAGTTGGACATATCCAAAGCTTCACATGACGCTGAAACGACTTCCAGGCACAAGGAATGTGACTGATGAGCTATAGCTTATCCCAAACTAAGTTCTATGACATACCTATTGAACTCGACAATGTTCGACGTATATCACTCACTACAGTATATGAAAGTTAAGCAATGGGGGATGCCCAGTCTTCCAACCTGGCATTCAATTCGTGTCATCTACGGTAATGGTTTTGCGTGCCAACCTAACGGAACTCGTGCCTTAGCACGCTGGCCAACAAGGCACGAGGCAGTCTGTGCCGCACCCTACCAGCTACTCAGTGGTGTATCACGGGGCTATGTAGGCTGTCATGACTTGACTTCAGATTGACGTGCCTCACGATATCCCAATTAACATTGCCATGGCTGGATAGGCTTAGTTGGCTCAAGCCACCCAATCTGCCTCGTGCCAGTTTCGACGTCGGTTAGCTGCAGCTTCAGCGCTAAACTTGAATGCGAGGAATACGGCGTGTCCGCTGAGGTAGGTAATCCCGACATGCATGGGTGACTATTGCGGCGCATGATTACTCCGAATTGCCCAGCTACTCATCAATGTGCACAGCGATTCTCGGACTCAGCCACGATGCTATGTGCAGATTTCTAACCCGAACAGGCAGCAGATCAATACCTTTGGCTGAACACCTCCAGCGGCCGCCGTGCGTCCCCTTGAGGAAAGAGACCGTACCTGGTACATCTGATTTCCTATTCGGGCACTGGCGCCCAAGCTGTCGGACAGGTAGGTAAGCCGCAAGCAAGTCGATTCTCGCGCCATTGATGATTGGACACCTTTGGTATGCGATCATAGTGACTAGTGTTTTCCGCGCCGCTGTGCTCTTGTCGTATTGACCAAAGCAATGCGATTGGTCCCAATGTGCAAGGCTGAGGCTTCCGTGGGAGTGGAAGGGGATGCGATTCTGGAACAAGGACGATCGCCCGTGTTGTTGGCTGGAATGGAGCTTTATATAAGGACAAGAGGACGCTCATCTCATCTCTTGACCACCACTAGAAGCAAAAAATCACTATCACTTCGCTAGGCTGTTTTCTGTACTTTCAAAGACCTAGGGACGCTTCCACTATCTCTGGATCTATTGCAGTCGACTTGAGGAGCCGCAGCACGAAGACCATGGAGGACGGCAAGTACGTGCAAGATAGCGTCTGGTTCTATGCGCCGAACAAAGGAGCACCGGTCTTCTTCGCGGTAGCATTCCTGGTATCAGGAGCTGTACATGCATGGCAGACCGTGTAAGTGGTGGGCACTCTCGACTCCATGATCCTCTTCACTAATCACCTCCAGGCACTATAAATGCTGGCGGCTAACAGGCTTATACGTTTTCTGTCCCACTCTCTTCCTAGCCGGATTCATCGTCAGAGAGCTAGGAGCATTCGACTATACCGATCTCATCAAGTACATTGTCAGCATCTGCTTGGTGTACGCTGCCCCGTAAGTCCATGGCCCTCTCCTCAACACGCACCCGCTTCTGACACATAGAACAGCCCGCTGTATGAACTCGGGAATTACTATGTCCTCGGTCGGATCCTGTACTTCGTCCCTTACCACTCGCCCATCCACCCCGGCCGTGTGCTCACAACCTTCGCTGCCATCTCAATGGTGATTGAAGCGCTAAATGGCAACGGTGCTGCCTATATCTCGAACCAGTCTCTGCCGGAAGAGAAACGCAACATGGGAAAGGCACTGCTCCAGGCAGCGCTCATCATGCAGCTTGTCGTGCTCATACTTTTCGTGACACTCGCGACCTACTTTCAACTCAAGTGCCGGCGGAACGGTATCAACTCACCGAAGGTCAACAGCGCAATGACGACGTTGTACATCAGCACCTCCCTGATCGGCGTGCGCACTATCTACCGCATCGTCGAATACTTTGACCTCGCCAACGTGAACTTCTGGGATCCCAATTTCGACCCGCAGCTCATGAGCCCCATCATCCGCTACGAGTGGTTTTTCTACGTCTTTGAGGGGACTCTCATGCTGCTGAACTCGGTCCTGCTCAACGTGCGCCATCCTCGCCGGTGGCTGCCCAAAAGCACCAAAGTCTATCTGGCCAAGGACGGCGTCACCGAGATCATGGGTCCTGGGTACAAGCAGGAGCGAAACTTCTTCGCGACGCTCCTCGACCCGTTTGACATCTACGGTATGATCAAGGGGAATGACAAGAAGAGTCGGTTTTGGGACGAAAGTGCGACGGGGGAGCCAAAGTCCATGTCAGGTATGGCTTCGACACCAGACACCGTCGTGTGAAGATAACAGAGTATGGGATGACAGAGACACGGCGAAGATTGTCAATGACGACATATATAGTTGGCGGCATGTATACCCATGTATCAGTAGGGGAGTTTCGGGTGCACCAACCTTGTTTGCCTTATTAGACCATATTGTATATTTTGTAGGGTTTGATCATTCTGATAGATTTCCGTTTATTGCAAGAAAGATATCCCCGAACCAGAGCGCCATTTCCAAGGTCTTCAGTTGTCATTCCTACCTAGTGTGATGTTAGTGTTATGTCTCAACCGATTGTACCATTCATGGAGGGAAAAACTTCCAAACATGGTGCAGTGCGTTGCATTCTGGAAGCCAAATTAGGCAGCGTAACCTCAAACAGCCCCCCCTCAACGCCCGCGGTACCTTGAGACGAGGAAAATAGCCCGCCTCAGTAGGGAAACAAACGTAATCCCCCACCAATAGGAAGACGATATACAGATCCATTAGGGCGTCAGCTATGCTCAATAATACACTGCTTTGATGGGAATAACGTCATGGTGGTTAGCTTCACCTTAGTCTGTTGTTGCGTGGGACAAATATGGATGCCAGATACCACTTAGTCCAGCGTGTGAAGGTATCCGGGTGAACATAAAATAGTAATACCGTCACATTTCTTCTTACAGGTATGATGCCTAACGAAACAGACTCATTGGGTTACCCTGGTGACGTTCAACTGAGGTTATAACTAAGATATCTGGTCCTGTACGGTGAAGTGGGAAGCCTCACCATTTTCACCTGCGGGACAACCCAAGGGACGCAATTTGACACCCTCACATCATCTCGTCTTTTATCACAAGGGGTTGGAGTGACCGTCTCATGCGCTCAATTAGCCTTCGTTTCCCAGCTAACGGCATAGGGCTAGCATCAACTCACGCCACGATCCCCCCATGGTCTCTTGCGAGTACCCCAATGGAGTAGTCCACGACTGTGCCATGACGTATGTGACGGTCTACGTTCCAGGCCTGGTCAACTGGAGACAGGCTGATGGTGCTACCAAATAGTACGCATCCCGAGAATGGGTTATTCACAAAAATATGCTACCTTCGTTCAGGACACGCGCCCTAAGCAGACATCATGGTCCCCTATAGAGCGGCCGGAGTCTTCCCCGCTGCGTCGACGACCGTGTCTACTGTAAGTTAGGTATGCAAACCGGCGGATGTGGCCCGTGCTCAAACTCCCCTCCTGCCCCTCCGTTGGCGCGTCCCCAGGATCCCGAGTTTCGGGCGTCGTCAGATGCCGGTCCCCAAACAGTTACATTACCCATCCAGGACTCACCCAAAGCTCTACTTACACCTCTTCTCGCTATTTGACCCATTGAAATCCCCCAGGCCGTCTCATCGTCTTTGATCCAAGCACAATGGCCAGCAACGCCGCCTGCATATTCTGCAAGATCATCAAGGGTAAGTCCCACAGCTCGATGCTAAACCGCATAGTACCCGGGATATGAGGCTCAAGCTGCGGGCTGGACATCAAGGTTGCCGCGGGACGGTGTGCCGTATGCGGCAACTTCTTGTGCTACTCGATTTTGTTTCCATATGCCGCTGGTTGTCCTGCTAGCCTGGGCTCGAGGCTAACGATGAATCCGTTCCAGGCGAGATCCCCAGCCTGAAGCTCTTTGAGAGCGACAAGACGCTCGCCTTCTTGGACGTCGGCCCGTTAAGCAAGGGTCATGCTGTGAGTATCTTCGAACATCCAACACGAGGAGACACAGTTCCGTCAGAAATACATAAGAAAGCAGCGCGGCTGACGTGGCAAACTGACTATAGCTTGTGATCCCCAAGTACCACGGCGCAAAGCTGCTGGACATTCCCGACGACCACCTCGGTGAAATCTTGGTACGTCGACTGCCCTTCCTCCCATATTCGCCCCCAATGATCCGTACACTGACCTTGCGTGTTATAGCCCGTAGCCAAGAAGATCGCCAACGCGTCAGGTGCCACAGACTATAACATCCTCCAGAACAACGGCCGGATCGCACACCAGGTTGTCGACCACGTGCACTTCCACTTCGTAAGTTGTTCCTCCCGTTACCGCGCCGTCATCCCGTAGCCTCCTTTCACTGCTGTCAGTACTTCCAATGCCTCTCATGAGTCGACAGTCGGTCGCTCTTACTAAACACCGTCTTTTTTATAGATCCCTAAGCCCAACGAGACAGAGGGACTTGGTATTGGCTGGCCCACGACGAAGCCGGACATGGATGCTCTGAAGAAATTGTCTGAGGAACTCAAGGCCAAGATGTAGATAACGACTCGGACCGAAGTGAGGTTGCAAGCGTGGAGCAATTGTCAGAAGGCGACATAACCACGGAATGTTGCTTTATCACATCGGACTTACTTGGGCCGTTTGTCAGTGAATCAACAGCAGGCGGGGTTGAAACTGTTTTTCGTCTGGTATTTTCAGAGCCTATCTCTACTGGAGCTAGGAAACCCCTAATCCACATCATCCGCTGCCGTTTCGACGACTGCAGGGGCGGACGCGGTTGCGGCGGCGACGCCGTTTGTAGGCGCGCTCTTATTCCACACGTGATACTCTAGCTTGCCGCCCTCGTTGAGGATTCCAACTCTATCATACAGCGATCGTGACCGGACGTAGGGATCCAGTATCCAGTACCCATCCTTCAGCTTTTTGGCCACCCTGTTGCGCTCTGCCTTGATAGAAGCACGCTTCTCGGCGTCCTTCTCCTTGAACCACTGGTGGGTCTTCTGCTCGTACTGGTCGTACAGCACTTCGCGCTCTCCAAGCAGCTTGTCCCGGGTGGCCGTGTCCTTGAGTTTCGGGTTCTCGCCAACAACAGGCTCGACGTACTCGTACGCCCACGGGTCATCGCCTTCCAGCTCCTTGGGTATCCGGTTGGGGGTGATGAACTCGGACATGTCCTTGACGTTATTGGTGAAGTGAACCTTGCTCGCCACCACGGGGTCCAGCCAGCCCCGGATAATCTTCCAGATACCTATGAACAGCTTAGCACGGGATTACAGGCAGTGGGAAGATGTCGGGATTGACTCACCCTGAAAAACCCATGGCGCCTTGTGGACAAGGACAACGCCTAGACTTTCGGGATAGTTCGCTTCGAAACATTGGATCATGAACTTGACCGGGGTGTAGTCCATGTTGGCCATGCTGAAACCCGTCATGTCGAAAATGACGGTGCCGGTGTCGACCGGAGCCGAGAGCAGCATGCGATTCGTCTCGATGAGGTACACAGTGTACCGCTCCAAGCTTTCCTCAGACTGGTCTCCGGCCTTGTGCAGGCGCGCCCTCACGACAGTGGTGGGTCTGCCTTCCTTGTCGATGCCGTACGAGAAACTCTTGCCGAGTCGCATCTGGTCCAAGAAGTCCTTGGCGAACTTCTTGTCCTTCTCCGTGGCGCCCTGCTGCTCCTGCAGGAGGAAGTGCTCCTCGCCATTCAGCATGATGTCGTCGTCGACCTTGGCATCCTGTCTCCATTTCATGGTGGAGACGAGCATCACCAGAGCCTTCTGCACATCCCACTTCCTCGCGCGCAGAAAGCGCAGCACCAGCTGGTCCGGGTGGTCCATCTTGACCATGGTCCATAGCGCGTCTCGGATGCTGGCAGGTGTGCGGTTGGCCAGCGTCTCTTGGAAGACCTTGTTGTGGCCGAACTTGTCATCTGGGTCGTTCTCCTTAAGTCCGTCCAGTGCCGCGGCCTTCTCGGGGGTGTTCTCCTTGTCCTTCTTGTCCTTCTTCTTGAACAGTCCCAAGCGCTTCTTCTTGGGCTTTTCCGAGCCGGCGGTCGAGGTCCGGCTCTGCAGAGGGGCAGGTGCCTCGTCGGCGGCGACGGCCTCGCCGCCATCCTCATCCTCCACCGCGCAAATCTGGAAGATCAGCTTCCACAGCTCGAAAAGCTTCTCCTCCTGCTCGGGGGTCAGGTTCCCCAGGCGACCGGGGAGGGTATCCATTGCTTCAAAGTCGAAGCCTTCCACGGCAGGTTCTTCGAGGTCAGCGTGGTGTACTCGTTCAGAGGGCTCGGTGGAAGTATTCCAGTAGGATGCCGCGCCGTACACAGCAAATGCGCCTATAGCGAGGGGCAGTATATACAAGAGCAAAGCAGAAGAGCCCTGGAGGGTGTTGCGACAAGTAAGCGCAGTGGTGGGCCGCAGCGTCGGACGGGAGCGGTTGAGACCCGTGGTCAGATTGCGCCGGAGGAGAGTGCGACAAGGAGCGACGGCAGGGAGCGCCGAGAGGGGCAATGGACTGCGACCGAGGCTGTGGACGCGAGAAGCTCTCAGGGTTGACTTTGCTGCACAGGACGGCAGAGGTGCTCGAAGGATTAGGCGCGAAGCAGTTCTCATAAGTCCGAAGACCCGGGCTGGGTCGAGTAGGCTGTGCGGCGCAACAAGTGATGCGCTCTTATGCAGCGGCGGCAGTGACGGCTCGACGAAGCGCAAGAGGATAGAAGGGCACCTCGAAACGCCGGGCTGTCGGGATAGAGGGGGGAAGAGAGGAATGACAGAGACCGACAATGGCAGAAAAGGAATGTTGGGGCTGCGGATATTCGGTGTCGTGTCGTGTCGTGCCGTGCCGTGTCGTGTGCTCTCTACTTATTAGTCAAGCTGAGCTAGCTAGTTGGTATTAAGGCCGGTCTGCCTGCTGCCCCGTCATTGACAGAAGCCGACTATGGATGTGTGTGTGTGAATTACGAAGTGCGACGGGGACTGTCTATACTTCGACCGGACGGGAACTCACAACAGAAGCGCAGCTGAGGAACGGGCACTTGGAATTGCTCTCGAGGACGTGTTCGTGTCGTCCAGCTCACGAGGGCGGCTCGCAGAGTCCAAGGCCGCCAAGGAGGGCTGAGCAGCAGGTGGCAGGATGGCCTACCGTCGTCATCGGGCCCCAAGCCCAACGTCTCCCACATCTCATCTCCGCAGGTGCCGGATTCGCGCGGGTGGGATGGGCTGCCCCCTGCCCACCTGCAGGATTTCGCATGCCAGGCCGGGCCATTAACTAACCTACCTACTGACTTAACCTACCAGGCCTGCTATGTACATCCAAGGTCCCCAATGACCACCAGCCAACAGCCACCCACCACCACCTACGTAAGTTACCAACTTACCCACCGCTGGGCCGCGGGCTGACCCCGCCATGGGCGCCCTTTGGCCCTGAGCCTGTCCCCTGGGCGGGCCCCCTGTTGACAAGGCCGAAGCCCTGAAAGCTTCCAGATTCCCGGGCGCAGACCCCGCCAACAGCAAGCCGCCTGGAATTCCCCAGGCCAAGGTTAAGCTACCCGTGACGGGAGCTGTGACCTCAACCTCAAGAGGCCGGGCTGGTGTCAATCCAAGGACGAACACACCGACGCCTCCTCACCACCCAAGTCACACATCCACATACACATACACACAACACAAGGGCGCGCCGTCCACGAACGACACCTCGCCCCGTGCCTACTCAGACAGCCAGCAGACCATGTCAGGCACCGACCCCCAAGACAGCGGCAAGCGCTCCAACTCGCGCACCCGCAGCATGTCGCGTCCCACGACGCCGCTCCGCCCCTCGTCGCGCTCCTCCTTCCGCGAGTCGGCCCAGCGCTCCGTCGACGGCGCCGAGCCCTTCCCGCTCAACACCTTCGAGCCCGCCTTTGCCGAGCTGTCCGACGCTGTCGCCGACCTCGAGGCCAACATGATGCACTTCCAGCTGATGCACGAGAGCTTGTCCAGGTTCAGCGAGAGCTTCGCCAGCTTCCTGTACGGCCTGAACATGAATGCCTTCTGTGTTGACTTTCCCGAGGTACGGCTGCCGGGGCTACGCCACGCTTTGCCTCCACCACGACTGCAAGAAACATCGGCCTGCTGAAACAAGAGAACAGGGCCCCATTGCCGAGTCTTTCCGTCGGGCGAAACAGAAGCAGAGTGAGGAACAGGCCGAGGCGCCAGGTACGTTGGCTCCCTTCGCCCAGGACGCGAAAATCCATGTGCTGACCGAGTCCTCCCGGGTCTTAAGTGAGGTCACGGAGTACAGAACGTGCTGATCTTGACGGCGAGAATACATTCATGTAAGCTGGGTCCCTATCAACCAGGCTCTCCCCAGCTTGGGTATCTAATTAATCGCTGTGTCTAGGACTACCGACTTCTCCTTTGTCGAGAACCCCTCGACTGCTTCCAAGCCAACGCCAAAAAAGTTTGCAACGCCAGAGACAAGACAATCCCGTCTGCCTTCCGCCCCGCGAGGCACCACCCGAGGTCGTGCAGGCACGGGCCGCGGTAGGGCAAGCGGCCTAGTTAAGCCAAGGGTACGTGGTATCCGATGAACAGCTCTACTGCCGCCCTAGGTGCCTAGAAAGTGCATCCCCTGGTGTTCTTTGATCTTCGTACGCTCGAGTTCAATCAAATGGCGTCCATGTGTTTCGGGCCAACACATGTTCCTCGCTGCTAGCCCTAATAAACGGGTATTTCCGAGGGATGACCCAGATCGAGACCCGTACGTCTCGGCTCCAGATTCCAGGTGTCAGATCAATTGCCATCTCTGACCCTGGTTTCGTGGAAGGCAGGCCTGGCGAAGAGATGCGGTTGGTTCGTAGGGTGGGGATAGTGAGAACGCAGATTGGGAGGAAGGTCGTAGTGAAACTCAAGTTGCCATGGCCATATCGTCGTCCCCTCCGGCAGTGGTTCGACTGGGGCCTACGTTGTTGGTAGTCAAGCCCGCCGCCGCCTCGGCCTCCTTCTGGGTATAGGGCTCCTCCTTCAGCTGCTTGACTCTGAGCGCGATAAAAATTAGCCATGCATACAATGGAAGCATACGACTTCGCCCGTAAACATGTTTGCTTTGCTTACCTTCTCTTGTGGGGCTTGCCCTTCTGGTGCAGGACCATACTTGACTCGGTGTCAAACCACTTGGCACACTCCGTGCAGTACCACTTTCCCAGGCCCGGCAGGTCCTCCGTCGCCTTCGTCTCCTTCCACTGCGACAGATGTTTGGGCGAGAGCAGGTCGGCCTTGATCTGGTCGAGGTCCCGTGTATGGCGACGGGTTTTGGTCAGGGTGCGCTTGTTGCCGACTCCCATGATGAAAGACGTGTTGTGCGGACGACAGGTGCTGTTGTTGGAAGGCTGAGGGCGGCCGAAGTCGCGAGGAAGATTGGGGTTGTGAATGGAGATGTGTGAGAAGGCGATTGCTTCCGCAGAAGATGTGATGTGCAATGCTGATCTGGCTGTCGGCTGGGGGTTGGGTGTCGGCCGTGACCCTCTCAAACTTTTTGGTGGGGTTTTTTCTTATCTCGAGATGGATAAGCGGATCAATGCCAGCTGATGGCAACACCAGCAGCTGTGGGACGGCTTGCCAGTCGACAGGTCCTATTAAGGCGTTACAATAGGTCACTGGGCGGATTTCCGTTACTGACCCCAAGGCACAACGTTCGTAAGAAACCGGACAGAATAAGAGTTTGATCAATATGTCCAATAACTAGGGACTTTGCGTCTCTTCAAGATGCGCTTGCTTCCCACTGGCCTCTATCCTCTGCTTCATGTGGTCCCGCCACAGTCTTCTAGTGTTACTAGGCAATCCTTGTTACGAACTCGTTGCCGTATACCTACCTCCTCGGTACTCATATTCCGTGTCAGAGTAGTCCGTATAGGTCACAGTCATTGGTCCATGGCATATTCCTCCCCACAGGCTCCTCGCTCGGGAATCCTAACAGCTATGGGAATTGATAAAACCGCAATGATGCGTACTTGAGATGCTACTTACTGCCTTCTTAAGATCGGACGGTCGCATTTAGAATAATTGTAAGGATATTTAACAGGACGGATTACTCCACCTGGGAGTTTGGCGCATCCCAAAGGTCTTGCGGTACCTGCCTGGTTCGGATGATTATTCCACAGGTTTATTCCATAGTCCACAGGTTTTTGGCTATGGAATAATCTTGTGAATAAAGATGGAGGACATGGGAAGACAACTGGCTCATTTCGAGTCTCATTTAGTATATGTATTATCCCAAAGCACCCACAAGACTGGGATCACTGTACTCCATTCATCTTTCATGATTATTACCCTGCAACAAACGCCACACGGTACGAGACAGCAGCTTATCCCAGCTGAATATTTTGGCACACCCAAAGGCCCATTCATTGCGGGCATAGCTAGTGACTAGAGAAGCAACTTCATTCCTTTCTAATCGAATAACGGAGGCCAGCAACAGAGTGCACAATATATATCTACCATGCGCTTAATACACGACCCACGGAAATATG